GGGGTGGATGTTTGGTTGGATGGGTTAAAGTTTATATTTCTTAATTTAAGTGCATTGACTTACTGTAAATAATAATTATTTAAAATTTTAATTTTAGAAGAATCCATATTCATCTGAATACAAGGGGAAAGTACCCAATCTACCCATTCCTGACGTTACCCAAAAAAAAGAGGGCTTATCTGGGGAAGATCAAGTCTCAACCTCTGGACGAAAAAACTGGTCATGTGAGAGATGAATGGAAAGATTTATTAAGGTAACAATTATGCAAGACTGTCCTTGGCAGTGCTTTGGATCCATTTCACTTTGGTGCGGATCCCGATCCAGGTCATTTCTTTGCTGAATTTTTTCTAACAAAGTATAATTTTCAAATTTGTTGTCTAACTATTTTTTTGCTTATTTTTATGCTAAAACTTGTAAACCATTGAGAAATCAGAAATGGTTGATATTTTACCCCGTTGGATTTGGCCGCATATTTGTTCAGATCCGGATCCAGGAAGCTAAAATCTTGCGGATCCTAAGCACTGTATGTATGTTGTTTTAATGACTCCATGGAATCGGTATTTGAATATAACTTTCTCCAAGAAATTAATATGTTCCTACTCAAATTCAGTTGTGGGTTCCTTGAAAGGCTTAAACTTTATCAGGCTATAAAGCCTTGACCTGGTAGGGATTGTGATGCCATACCCCTGGGAGATGAAGGAGCTGTTGGACAAATTCCTGGCTCCTTTGTTTCAGTGCTTAGGCTCCATTTAATTTTAATTCAGATCTGGATCGGGATCCTGGATCCGCACTGGAAAAAAATGGATCCGGATCCGTCTTATTTCTTTAAAATTAACTTATTTTTTTTCGCTCATTTTTATGCTTTAACTTAATGAACTATTCAGAATTCAGGTGAGGGTAAAAAAAAATTTCTACAGTTTTTGTTTGCCCCTTAGATCCGGATGCGTGGATTCGCATATTTTTGCGGATCCGGATCCAGGAAGCAAAAATCTTGTGGATCCAACAGAGCCGGATCCGGATCCTAAGCACTGCTTTATTTTAAGCAAATCAAAGTACAGGGTGTCCAATTAATTCTGACATTTTTTAAAAAGCCATTTCTCTGGAATTTTTACAAATTTAAAGATTTTAGCGTCTGTAACATGAAAGTTTTGAAATATAACTAAATATCCGCAACATGTATTGCAGAAAAAAAAGAAATTCAGTTTTCCTGTACACCAGTATTTCGATGAATGTTACATACGCACTTAAACTTTTCTTGGGGTAGGCAGGCTAGATAAAACAAATTTTGCCTGACAATAGCCAAGGTCAAATCATTAGAGCTGAAATATGCCTTTAAGAAAATGGCGGTCTTTTTGTACACTCCTGAACGAAAAATAAGTAACTAGTTAAGTAAACAAAACTTTCCCATTTTGATTTTTCGATTTTTTTACAGATTTATTGGAAAAATTCAAGACAATAACAAAGTTACAGCAATTTGAAAATTTTAAAGATTAAAAGGACACCATGGTCTCTGAAGGTTATGCAAACCTTCTACAATTAGTTTAATTTTGTTTATTTATTTATGTTGTATTGTTTAGATTTACGCTCAACATGAAGCTTCAGAATGCCTCAATTGCCACAAAGGCTGATTTAATGGAATTGCAGAAAAAACACGGAATTACAAAAAATCTTGCAACAAACACGGAAAAGATGCAATGTAAGTTACAATAATAATATGGTTTGTACCACTGGAATCCTAAATATTATTTAACTTTCTTCTCCAGTATTATTTTGATATCCTCTCCTTTGCTAGGGCTGGGCATGTTAAAACTTTTTCAAGGCGTATCGTTAATGTAAAGTTCCAACCGTTAAAAAAGAAATTTTTCAGTAAGCCGTTAATTTTAAAAGTAATAACGGAACGTTCGCTTTGTTAATGGCATTTTCCGTTTTTTATTACCTTTAGTTAACGATCTCAATTTTATTTACGGCGTTATATATTTCCAGGATGGATACAGAGAATATATTTTCAGGAGAGAAAAACTAATTTCTTATTTAATAACAGGCTGTAGCCACGATAGTTGGAGCTTCACGCCTTCGGCTACTGCCACTCAGGCATAACAGTATCATTGCACATGTCACGCTAACTCTGATCCAGAAATTAAGATTATGAAAATCAAACTGCTTTTTTTGTTTAGATTTTTTGAACGGAGTTGCGAAGAATGTCCGAAACAAGAAAAATCGAGATAAAGATTTCTTGAAATGCTTGGGTATTATTTTCCACCCCTGTTTTTCTCAATATTTTTTTGCGTCTTTCCTTCTTTTCTAAATGGAAATGAGTAATTTTTACTTTTTCTAGAAGCTGGCCAACTGTTCACCAGACTTTAAAAAATATTGCAATAAAATTACTCAATCGTCCATAGAATTTTGATTGTTTGATTTAATATCTGAGAAATTTAATGAAATGCCCAAAAATTTCTTAGAAATATTATGTTTGGTTTAAAAACCATTTTTTTAACAAATTCAAACCCCACGAAAACTCCTCAAAAGCTGTTGGAAAGTTTTAAAGGTGTGCTTTGGCCTAAACACATAAATTCTAATTAGGTTCTTGATTGTTTGTCTGACAAGTTGGGAAACCCTGGGCCGATTTGCCTCAAATTCTTATATTGGGTAACTCAGGAGTGCCACAGCAATGAACTAAGCTTGGTTTTGAGAAACTGAGATGATTTGAGTTGACTTATTTCGAAAATTTATTTCTACCAACTGTGATAAACTGCAGGAGTAACTATGAGTAAAACCTTGGCAATGGTGGGTTCCCAGGCTAGTTAATATTTTTTTATAAAAATAGTTTTTTCCTATGTTCTTAGATATTAAAACTTTCCATCAGAATAGGGAAGAAAATGTATTGCAATATTTATGAAAACCCTGGTTGGCTGTTTGCTCAATTTCAATATTAAAGATGCTAAATGTAGAAGAATGAGTTTTTTATTAGAAGTCCTTAATTTTGAGATTTATTGTGAATATTTTAATTTATAACTACAGGAAGGGGTGGAAAAAATGTACCTACCTAGACGACTAATAATTATATTACTATCTGACCAGTATAACCAGTATAACCAGTGAATTCAGTGCGTATCCTGTGTATCCTGTATATCCTGTGTATCCTATGTATCCAGTGTATCCTGTGTATCCAGTGTACTGTGTATCCAGTGTATCCTGTGTATCCTGTGTATCTTAGTTACTGCATTATATGATCTTGGAGGAAGATTTAAATAAATGAACCAAAACCATTATTTTTTACACTTTCTCCTAATTTATTTGTTACCAGTGGAACTGGCCCGTCAATTTTAATTTGTTTTTATCTTGTGAAAATTGTTCTATTTTTATTTTTATAAAAACTCTTTTTTGATATGAAAATTTATGACTGTAATAAAGATTATTTTGTTTATAACTTGAAGGTCAGAGAAGAAAACGAGAGATTCAAAGAGCTATAAAATTGTGCAATGCATATCGTCCTTGGTTTTCCTTTATCGTAAAAAAGTGGAGTATTTTCTCTTTATTTGTTTTTAATAAATTTTCTTATCCCTTTCTTTGGATGGTGTTTTTTGGATCTACGCCCATCCGACCTACTAGCACGTGGTTTTCAGCTGCTAGATGGACTTGTGGCCGCAAGGCATGGCTCCCTAGCCGCAGCTCTTGGCCCAGAAATGGTCTTAACACCTAACCATCAAATAATACAAAAGTAAACATCTGTCGTATGGGCAGTAGAGGGGGTCAACATTACCCTTTCTTTTCAGTCTAATGATGCAGACCTTTGTATAACTTTGACTAATTTTTAAAGGTCAGGCAATAAAGTTTTTTGTTTAGATTAATATGACTATACGATGGATTAGATGACCTCTTAAGGTTTAGATCATAATCTCCTTTGTTCATGGGTTAAATTTCCATGGTTTAGATGAAAACTTCATTTTTAAGTGAAAACTCTTGGCCGATTTCTTAGACGTTCTACCATAGGTTGAACCATAGTCACACATTGGTTACGCTTTGCCAGAGCAGTGTAGATAGATAGATACGACCTATAATTGTACCTATGGTTAAATGAATGAGAAATTCGCCATCTAAGGTTAAGATAATAAGCTCTATGGTTCAGGGGATAATCTCTAATGAAACCCATAGTTGGTGACATCAAACACATCTTTTTCTTACTTTCTAGGTATCAAATACAGTTAAAGGGAGTGACCGGCTATGTAAGGCAGTTGAACTGAGTATGCAGTGTTGTGGTAAACTTATTTCGGATTCATTTGAGACATATTAAACTTTTTAAAGATCTGTAAATCCTGAGTTTGAGCTCAAATTCGACGTTTAAAACTCCTACTTTGGGGGTGAATACGTTTTCAGAATTATGTTTTTTTAAATTATCAACTACCTGAAATAGCTGGTCACTCCCTTTAAACCAGTAAACTCTGGAATAGGAAGTCGAGTCTTAGCTTTTAAAAGTAATCTGAAAATTTGTTAGTATAGTAAGGAACAGATACAATTTTGAGCTCACTGGATTTGAAAGCTCAAAGGGTACCAATGTGAATCAGACATGCCACATTCAAGGTTCATGGTTAGAAAAACTAGAGTATATGCAAACCAGGTTCAGAGTTAGAAATTAAAAAGTTGGAAAGTATAATTTCTCAGTTTAATATCGGTTATTGTATTCATGTCAAAATTAGTCATTCCATTTTAATTTTTTTTCTCTATTTTTTACTTTAAGTGCAAAATTTATCTATACTGAATGTTTTTCTATCTGCATGGCACATATATATCAAACTTCGCTGGATTTAAAGAAAAGAAAGTTTTTAGATGGTAAGACACATGTTGACTTAGGTAAACAATAACCATATTCATGTCTAGAACTCAAAATTCGAAAAAAACGTTTTATGTCCTAAAAAAACATTCTAGACTTATCTATACCGAATATTTTTCTAACTGCATGCCAAATATATATCAACCTTGACTAGATTTAAAGAAAAGAAAGTTTTAAGACGGTTCGACACTTTGGGATACATATTTATGTTTGAAAAACATAATTCGGAAAAAAGTACGTTTGTTGTCCTGAAAGCGTCAATTTTGACTTTTTTTCAGATTTTTTTTTTCTAAGACATTAAACTGTAAAAAAGGAAGCATGAAAAAAAAAATTTGCATAATTTCTTCAAAAACTCGGCGAAGGACTTTTAACCCATGGTTTTAGCTCTAGAGGCCTGAGAGGCTTTTTTTACGGATGAAAAATGAAGTCATTGAAATAAAAGTTGTCGGGAATAGTAATACAAACATGATCAACAAGTTTTGATCAAAGGTTGTCTTCACTAAAAATACTAAAGCTTAAAAAGTTCATAAACATAAATAATTCCATTAATTCGAAAGCCGGTTAACCTAAAGGCTCAACAATTTCTTATCCTGACCTGTCTGATCCATATCCGGATTCTGAACTGATAAAACATTTCAGATCAATTGGATTAAAAGAAAAAAATCGCATTTCAATCTCGCAGAATCCATATTAATCCACATCAAATACATCTTTTGCTTTCTTTCTAGGTATCAAATACAGTTATAGGGAGTGACCAGCTATGTAAGGCAGTTGAACTGAGTATGCAGTGTTGTGGTAAACTTATTTCGGATTCATTTGAGACATATTAAACTTTTTAAAGATCTGTAAATCTAAAGTCTACTTGATGCCCCTGTGTATTTCTGAGTTCTCCCTGAGGATCTGTACAGAACGTATTGTGAAAGAACTAGTTTAGGAGCTGTTTACAGACTGACTAAGCAGGCGCAAGATTTCTTGCGTGAGAGTGAACAGTTTTGTATTCGTATATGTTTATTTGTCTTTACAAGTGTAACCGTGCTTATAATTCTAGGATCACTGCGATAATAATTTTTTATATATATATGTATGCTATTGTTTGATTATATTATGATTGATATTTGTAAATATGTTTGTTTGTTCCTTGCAACAGTTTTTTAATGCCTGAGTGGATTATTTTTGTATTCGTATGATTTATCACTCAAAACTTTTTCTGTGGGCTTATTAAACTTATTTAGATTGAAGCATTCGAGAAATAAACGTTCGGAACCTTATTATTATCCTTTGTTATGGAGAGCGTTGAAAGGAGGAAGGCTTACAATCCAATCTCGAGAAATACTGCATGGTATATACATTAGGTCTTTAGAGAAATCGCTAAGTAGCAAAACACCAGCTATGGGTCCCTGCCCGTTAAGGCTATTAAATGGTTCGAAACCATAGGTCTCATCGCGGCAAAGCGACTCGTCGTGGCCCAATTTGCTAGGATAAAAACACATTTTAAATAAAAAAATAAAAAATAAAAAAATAAAAAATATTTATAATGCAACCAACGGAAAACGGATATCAAGCAAATTTGCCGCAAGTCTCAACTTCACTTCACTTCACTGAACAAATCAATATACGAGAAACTGATGGAACAAACCGCAACAGATATCAAGAAAATTTGCCGCAAGTCACTTCACTGAACTGAACAAATTAATATATCAAGAAAGTTTGCCGCAAGTTGGAACTTAACTGAACGAAACGATATCTAGAAAATTGCCACAAGTCTGAACGAAACTGAACGTTAAAATATATCAAAAAAAAGTTCCCGCGTGTTTATATGTATATATTAGTGTTTAAAATGGAAGCAAATTTTACAAAAGCAAAGTTGTAGGCCTTGGTGAGTTATGTGTGAATCTCAAATTTAGAACCTCTAGATTGACCGGCAGCAGAGTAATTGACCCTTGTTTTTCAAAAGTACCTAATCTAACCCAACCTAGAAAGCTCTGCTTTAAAAATATGACTTATTTCAAGAATCAATACATTTTAAGCTTACTCCTATGTGGCCTGTTTTGCACAAATATAAATGCCCAGTTCAAAAATGCACCTCTGTTTGAGCGCTGCAATTAGTATTTTCTCTCTCTCTCTTGGTCTCTGTCTATCTTTCTGTCTTTCTAACCGTCCCGCAGCCCGGTCCGGCATTTCTGACAGAGAGAGAGAGAGAGAAAGAGAAAGAGTGCTACGGCAAAGAAAATAGTTCTTATTGAAATGAATGATTATTAACTTAAACTAATAGTAAAAGACATTATTTTAATAATTTACATGTCTGCAATAACTTTTGATATTTAATGTACTTTTTAATCAGAAAATGTATCATGAACAAATATACCAAAATTAATGAAAACCTTTGAAGTAAAATGTGATGCAAGACTTAAAATGAAACCCTAAATAAGTTTGAATAAATTAAACAAAACCTAAATTAATAATTTCATGCTCAAAATAACTTTACAAGGTTAGGGTATTAACTAAACTAACTGTGCTTTTGGAGTTAGTGGGGCCGCTACATTCCTTGCCACCCGATCATTCAACCGACCCTCCTTTACTTTAGTACAGATGTATTACCAAATTTTATCATCAACATACATTTCATGTTTAAATGGAAGATCAGGGTTCTGCTAATTGGTTCAGCCGTTTTGAACATGCAAATGCAAGACACAATTAATTAATTTAAAAGAATTGTTCACAATCAAATTACAGTTTTCTTCTTCAAATCCCCGGCCGGCTTGCCGAACAGGAGTAAATTTAATTGCTTAGTGATTTGATCAGAGTTTGTACAAGTTCCGACTAGTACATGTAGATTACTTACTTTTGAATAGAATCAAAAACCCTCTAATTAGCTTAGATTTATTAAATTTTACTAATTATCCATAAATATTCAAGAGTTTGGATCAAAGTACATCAAAAGAAAAACTTACTAAATAACTCGGAACAGACAAAAAATGATATTGATGGCAAGATTTCATAATTAGTAAAAAGTAGTTTAACCCTTGTTAATACAATTGAACCACTTCTATTAATATAGGCGGTACAAGTTTTAAAGAGAAGTAGAGAAGTACTTTGTCCTGTAGGTTCAACTTCTTCTCACTATTCATAAAATATGGCTTTAAAGTCTTGTCGTTCCTCTCTCTGGCAGACTGCGTGCAGAGTGACCTTGTAGTGTGCAATTGTGCATGAATATTCAATCAATTGAAGAATATAAAGATATATGAATTTATTAATCTAAACATAAACTCTAAAATATACAAAATCTAGATATAAGTTTGATTAAAACCGTTACAACTATTTAAAGAAATATNACTATCATCCTTTTATTATGAAGAGCGTTGAGAGAAGGGAGTCTTACGATCCGGTCCTGAGAAATACCACACGGTATGTATATTAGGTCTTTAGGGAAATCGCTAAGTAGCGAAACAGATAAATGTTTAAAAAATCATAAAGAAAAAAAATAACTACAAAATTTCACCCCGGCGCACCGGCCAAGACAACAGATTTAATAAGTTTGACTAAAAATCACAACTCAATAAGGGGCATAATTTCAAATGACCCTCAAGTGCAAAGATGGCAATGCTCGATTTACAACAGTCACCCATAAAAGCTTTGTCTGATCAAGCATAAATTAGATATCCACGTTTTTTTCTTCTAACTGTTAATTTTAATTTGCAGGTTTACTGCTAATACTTGCACATTCTTTGTTTAAACGGAGAAACGGAGAAACTCACAAAAGCTATAAATACTTATCTAGTCAGAAAACAGACGGTTTCTTTCATATTTCTAATCAGATAAAGGTTACAAGGGTACTGTTGTAAATCACGCAATTCTATCTTTACATGGAGGGTTAAATCATAAATGTCTAGGATCGAAACAACTCAGGAATGCCTGGTAACAAAAATGTACGTAAAAAAACGACAGAAATGAAGTAAAAATCACTAAGACCGAAATAATAAAGAACGAAACTGTAGTATAAATTTGATACAGGCTAGCCAGAATGGAGAGGGTACTCTAGGCTGGGCAAGTGCGACAGTTGCTAAAAATGTTCTGATTTTCAGCTTTAGCGGTTGGGGCGGCCCACTCGCACTGCTATGTACTTGTTGAATGCTTATCATGCGTTAAATCAGATGTGGACTGCAACCAATCTATAATTTAAATTATTTATTAGATTATTAACTTAGTTTTTTATGTACAGTCATAACCAGAAAACAATGAAATAGGAAGAGGACAATATTGTATTTGATGTTGTTACAAAGCAAATAGTTTAACAAGACACTTATTAAATCACTAATCTACTGAAATGGGTCTTTTTACACTGCACATTTGCTGTTTCTCATTCTCATTAAAGTTGTAACTTGATTCTTAAAGTCGTCTTACTATTACAGACTTTCTGGTTATCACTGAATCATATTCTCTGCACTGTCGTNAAGAATAAAATATACCCTGATGTGTGGCTGGGACTGATGGAGAGATTGGCGCAGACGCACAAGGATCTGAGACGTTTTTAATCCAGAGAGAGCCAGGGAACATAAGCTGGACAGATGAGATTGTAATTAGTAATATTATGTTAAAAAATACTCTGATGGTTGTTAATAGTAAGCCGTTTCTCACAATAAAAATTATGAAGACTTTTTCCAGATATTAAAACATGTCTTTTTAGCTAACACCTAATTTGTCCCTAAATCAAAAAAACGTTGCACGTCAGAGGGTGGGGGGTTAAATTTTTGAAAATATTTATTTTACCCCAGAGTATTGACTGATATAATAATATTGCGTTTGCTCCACGCAAGAACTGAATCGAGTTTTATGGCGTTCACTTTTCTATTGATCAAGAATCCTAGCCTTTAACTCTGAAAATCGGCATTTTAAATCATTCTCAGATTTTCACAAATTTCTCCAAGATCGATTGAGTGGGGTAATTTTAATGGAGAAAGTTTAAAATTAAAGAGAAAGATAAGATATATTTGAAGAGAGGGATGGGACGGATTTAAAAATTAGGATGGGACGAATTTAAAGAGAAAGATGGGATATATTTGAAGAGAGGGATGGGACAGATTTAAAAATTAGGATGGGACGAATTTAAAGAGAAAGATGGGATATATTTGAGGAGAGGGATGGGACAGATTTAAAAAGTAGGATGGTACAAATTTAAAGAGAAAGATAGGATATATTTGAAGAGAAGGATGGGACGGATTTAAAAGAAGGCAGGGACAAATTTAAAGAGAAAGATGGGATATTTTTGAAGAGAAGGATGGGACGGATTTAAAAAGTAGGATGGGACAGATTTGAAGAGAAGGATGGACCAGATTTAAAGAGAAGAATAGGTTGTATTTAAAGAGAATGATGGAACGGATTTAAAGAGATTGAAAGGTAAGAAAATTTTGGTTGGGGAACTCAATACATTTAATCTATTTTACCTTTAATTTAGTTTCTTCCTTTTGAACTGATTTGCTTTTTGAAAGTAACTCATGCTTCATGATCAGTTCCTGGACTAAAAAAAGTTAAGCTGTTCAAAGTTATAATAATAAAAATAACAAGGAAGAAAGGATATTTCTATCAAGGAAGAATTTATAACCTTTTATCAGCCAAATTTAACAATCAATTTATAACCTTTTATCAGCCAAATTTAACAATCAATTTTTTAATTATCAGTGAAAAATGTAATATATTTCAATGCCATTTTAAAGCTACCTAAAATGATATGCAATAAAAAACATCCTCAAAATTGGTCTAAACCCAATTTTCGCTGCATTAGTCTATTTCAGAAATAATTCTTGAAAATCTTAATGCATCATTTATTGTAAAGCAATTGAGTCTTTGTCACAAACTATGATTTTCTAATCTCTATATCTTTATAATCCAATGCTGTAGACCCTAGATATTTCAAATTTTGAAATATCAAAGGTGGCAAAAATATAGGTGTTCAAAAATCAGAGTTTGTCACAAAGACTCAATTCTTTTGTTGATCAATAAGGAATGATATATATATCACAATAGACTTTACATACATCCGTCACAGAATTTAATCTAAAAAAAGAGAATGTTTTTCCATACAATAAATGAGTTTCATTTAAGACATTAACTTCCTTAGAAAAAAAACGTAGCTATAAAATTGGCATAATTAAGAGGTTTCAAACTATTTGATCCCGACTTTTAATTATTGACAGGTTGTTGTGAAAAAAGAAAGAAGTGATTTTTGATTAATAATAGAAAGTGATGGAAATTATTGGTTATAGTCATACCTAGGATATCTTGGTTCAGCTCGGGAATAAGTGTCCTGCTGGATATTAGGGTTCTGCTCAGATATCTAGAAAAAAGAAAAATTTGCAATCATTTATTTGAACTGCCAGTCATTTTGATTCAGGAAAATGTTTTTGTTTCTTGTTTAAACTTTGTGTTGTACTGCAAACTAATATGAAAAGTAATATATAAAAATTCTTTGTTCAGGGTTTATTTAAACATAAAAATTGTGCTGCACTATCTTATCTAATTTGCCTATAATGTTTCATTAATTAATTTAAAAGTATCAAAACGGATGTATAAACTTGTTCAATTACCAATATTTTCCAAATCTACACAAATATTTAACTTCAGGAATATCAGGAGAAAGATCTGAAAGCCCCCCGTTTAAATACTTAAACCTTAACCAGGATTACTACAATTAAAGTTAACCAGGATTACTCCAATCCAACTATACTAGAACTTGAACCAGGATTGTTCAGACTGTACTTGAACCTGAACCAGGATGTTCATACTGTATGTGAACCTGAACCACAATTACTCCGACAATACTTAACCGTCAATGTACGAAGCAGTAGATATCGACCTCTCACTTAAGTCACCCATTACCCCCTTGTCGGTTTACAAATTAACTTGTTTTTTACAGCGTTAACAATACAAAATCCACTACGGGACAGTAACAGAGGCAATTGTTCATAATAAAAAAATCCACTAAGGGACAGTGTTAATAAAATTCCACTAAGGGACAGAGTTAACACAAAATCCACTAAAGGACAATAAAAAGATACAAGCAAACGTATATAATACAAAACCCACTAAAGGACAGTGGGAAAAAAGTTAAATTCACTAATGAACAGCAAACAAATAATTCAAGGAATTACATTTTTTTATAAACAAACAAAATTGTTAAAAAGAAATAACAAAATCCAATAAGGAACAGGAAGGGAAAAAAACCGAAATCCACTAAGGCACATAAAATGCAGGAATAAAAATTTTTTAATTATTAAATGCATTAAAGAAAAAAGCCTAAACTTAAGAACAAACCTTCTACAAAGGAAATTAAAAAAGAACAAAAGTAGCATAACCAACCTTGAGAGGAAGAAGTAGCAGGAGAAACCAGAGTGACCTTTAGAGAGTAGAACTTCACATCGCTGAGAATAAGTCGCTAAGTTCTGCTTGGTCTCCGGCAAAGTTGCAGAGGACAAAATCAAGGCCAGGCAGGGCATAGCGCAAGTCTGCTCCAGAAGGTAGAGCAGAGGAATCGGTCCAGGGAGATCCTTGTGTGACGGTCGGAACGCAGGAGAGGAAGTTAGGAATATCATTAGCGGAGCTGATACTAAGAGCACGGAGCTCGGAAAGGGTCAAGTCAGAAGGGATAGAGAAATCATCGCTGCGGATGACCTGGATTTTCCTGGGCCTCCCCATCCTGTGCAAAGAAGTAAGTTAGTAAGGGTAAAATAATATTGAGGTTAAAGTAGCTTCAAAAAGGATAATCTAAAGCCATGTTAGGAAAGAATAAAATTAAGATTATTTAAATTCTGTCCGAAAAGGAGAAAAAAAAAAATACGGAGAAAGAAATCAAATAAACTATGTTAAATTAAAATTGAAATTAAAAACATGATTAACGGAGTTCAAATAAGATAAAAATTAAAATTGTGCAAAAGTAAAACTGAATCAAATTTGTAGAGAGAAACAAAAGCAAGAATTTTAGATTTAGATGGAGCGGGAGGGGGGCCGGAAACAATACCAATAGAAAACATATCCATAAATATGTGAAAAGGAGAAAAGGAAGACTATCTTAATCCAGAACAGTCCAAAAAAACTTTTTTTGAAAGAGAGTGAACATTTAGATTCCTTTAAAATCAGCCACCTTAAACAATCAATTTTTTAGCTTTCTGTAAAAAAAGTAATAATGCCATTTAAAAGCTTATTTAAATGATATGCAATAAAAACATCCTCAACATTTGTTTTAAGACACACTAATGGGCCTGGTTCTGCAACCACACTTGACAAATTATTTTTATGTACATTTTTTACAGGGTGGGGGGCCAAAAATCACTATAAAAGGTTCCCCTACGATGGTTTAAAAAAAACGAAAAACAATAGTTATTCGCACTTTTTAAAAACAATTTTTAATTGTCTGATATGATCGACTTCACTACAACACTAAGCGATAACTAACGGACAATTTGTCCCTATATATTCACACTTTTGCACACAAATGTAAACTTACAAAATGTTCACAATGCAAAGCTTGTTAAGAAAGATGGCGACTGTGCGGAAAATAGATCCTGGCCTGTGTGCGGAGATAAAACCCTTGGTCTCGGGAGTCTCGTTCCATTTTGAAAAAAGTATCAACTGATCAGAGCCACATCAAAACTAAAACGTAAAAAAATGACATTTTCATTCAATTTTTTCTGTTTTTGTTTTCACCATAATAATCAGTGAAAACTTTCTGGGGATTAGAGCTATCGCCAGGGATTTAGGACCATTTCATTAAAATTTTCGAAAAAATTTACATCAAGCAGAACAAAAAAAATCACGAAACCTTAAAACTGCAGTTATGAAAGCTAAATTTAGAAACTAGTGAATGTACAGTTGTACCCTTAAAAAAATAAAACAGGACTGACTTGAAATTGTTTATTATTGAAAAGTTTTCATTAAATGTTGTAAACTTATGAATAAATAATTGCAAATTACAACATAACTTTATTCAAGAAAATAAAAATGCAATTGAATTGTCTAAATAAACAAACTACGGATATTTATGTGATACTTGATGAGAGAAAATTTTATGGATAGCATTGCAAATGAAACATTGACATGTTTTCAAAGTGTTAGTTGAAAGTGGACAGTTCCTTTGAAGACTTTTCGTATATGGTATTTTATCCTCATGTATAGGATAATGTTTAGAGTGCATTGATATTTTACTTTAAATTTTTTACGTAATTGTGAAATTTTTATAATTCTGTGTACGTGTAGGATTAAAATTAATTGAAGGAACAACTCCATTAGTATCTATGGGATTATAATAAACATAAACGTTTACAGTGGGGGATTGCTCCATTGTCTGAAATATAGTAGTTTAAAATAGTTGAACATAACATTATGTGATTTTGTATTTGTTGACAGGAAAAACATAAAGAATGCAATAAGTACAAATCACTGTTTAACGAATATGTATTTGTGAAAATGGTAGTATTGTAAACCAATTTAATATCAGTGGAACAATAACAAGATAATGAATTACAAATACTATTAAAATATTAGTCAGTTATATAAACTAATCAAACAATAAATTAATTGCTCAAAATGTTAGGAGAGTTTTTTGTGGATCATACATGATTGCAGAGAGTGTTAATGAATCATCAAAATTTGAAGAAAAATATTTGGAAATGTGTCAATTTAAATTATAAAAAATTGAAATAATAATAATTGAAATATAAAATTTAAAGTTTGATCAACAGGTAATTAAATTAGATAGAATGAAATTTGGTCTGTTCCAATAGACACCTTTCTTTGATAATAAATACACTCTAAAAAGTTTTTAAAAGTGTATTTACTATCAATAACGGAGGTAGACCTTGCCTATCGCTAATGTTGAGAGCCCAACGTATTTTCTGATTAAAAAATTACAGAAAGAAATAACATTTTGCGAAATACTCTGGACTCCCCCTAGAAATTTTAGTAGAAGTTTTAGTAGTAGTTCTAGTAGTGGTTAGTATGTTAAGTTTCGTAGTGGTTAATAAGTTAAACTAGCATAAATAATGAATATATATGAACAATTTCAGATACTATTAATGTTTGTATATAGCTTTGATTCTACGGAAAAGACAATGAAAAATGGTGAGCCCACTATTGGTTGAAAAATGTTACTGAAGAAGCAGATAGTGATGAATATAAAAAGCTTAAAAATTAGAATTGATAATGAAAACTATTTAAGTTTTAATAATATACCAACCTCTCCAGAAATAAACCTTGGAACAGGCAACCTGGTTTCTCGTCCTCTGGGAGAAGGGCCGACATGGCGTCCATGAGAGCAGGAGGGCGTCGGTCTCCCAGCCCAGGGTGATAAATTAATTTGGAAACCTTCTGCCAGCGTGATAGAGTATACGAGGAGACAAGTTTGACCTTCAAGTCCTCATAAGGGGTTTCTGAGGAGGCAGCAGAACCCATGATCAGGACGCGTACCGAGACCATAATCTTCTGGGGAAGTTCCTATACGATGTGCTCGAATTTGGTTATTGACTGTGTGATTTGGGCGTTTCTGAAGGCCACCTCTGCATGAAGGAACCACAGGTCGGGGTCCTCTGTCCAGAAATCCAGGAGCTTGACGGAGACTTTAGCGACGAACTCGGTTGGAGTTTCTTTCTTGTCGGTCATGATGCTCGGATGTATCACTTAATGTTTAAAGTTCAAGAAAATCACGAAACTGGATAGCGTTTAACTGTATGTTCAAAGTCGGGGGTCACCAATATAGAGGATGTGAGTCAGACTCTAATAAAGACGCATAAAGAACTTCCAGTATATATATTTCTTATAACTTATTACTAGAGGGTTCAGAACTGGAGTCAAAAACGATATCACACGTGTAGATGTTTTATCAGTACTATGCCCCGTATCCGTTCTATCTCATTCTGTTGAATCTTGTGGAACTTGTTTAACAAGGCCAGGCATCGTCTTCCACAATGTAGTTAATTTTTATGTTTACGCTAAAATACCTAGTTCTCTGTGTTTTGATCCCAGTAAAGATGTCCTGGTACCATTTTTACACAGTTGTACAGCAAGAATGCATCTTCTTTTTAATGGAAAAAATCGCTAACAATGATTTGTATTTTTTAACTTATTATAAAGCTTTATCGGAAACAATTACCTATTTGTTTAGAGCAAACCTTTTCATCATTTTTGTCCATGCTATCATTAAAGATCTGAATGTAACATTCAATAAAAATATTTCTTTCATATATCATCTACATATTGCAATTTCTGGTTTTCTGTCAGTTTGTTTGTTTTTCCGATCTTAACTGAGGAATCACTGGACATAATTGACTCAAATTTTGATTGAGGAAATAGAGAGACCCTAGGGTGAATGTTATTAGCTTGGTTTAAAATTTCAAGTTGAGTTGGTAAACTTTAATAGAAAAAAAAAATTTCCTGGTGAAGTGCATGTAAATGGTTGGAGTAACTCTAATTAGGTAACATGGAAACGCCTCAACACGGAAATGCCTCAAAATGTCGGACTCTCTCATTTAAAAAAATGTTTTAACAATTATTTTGCGGTTAACTTAGGGTAAGTTAGGTTGCGCCTCAGGCTACGGAGGGGGCCGAGTGCTGCGGCTATGATGGGCTAGGGGGCCGAGCGCTGCGACTAGGACAGGTTAGGGGGCGGTGCGCTGCAGCTAGAACAAGCTAGGAGGCCGAGCGCCACGGCCACGGCCGACAGCCACGGCTGTGAAAATCTTTAGAATGTAGTCTTTTAAATTTTAAGTTGAGAGAAGACGACATTAAATTAGTTTTATGATTCTGTTTTTTGAGGCATTTCCGTGTTGAGGCGTTTCCGTGTTGAGGCGTTTCCATGTCACCCTCTAATTAACAAGGACACACTGGGCAGCGCTAAGTTCACAAGCTAGTACATGCTATTTGTTAAGTAATATCTGAAAGTTTAAAAATATTTTTAGATCTTTTAAACACATGTTATGAAATATTGGCTTTTAAAATATATTTTCAATCAACTTTTATCATAATTTTGGCATGAGTTTTAATTATAATCATAACATTTTTCCGTTCTCAGACGTACTTTAAACTAAATGCAAAACAAACTGTAAAGTACATTTACACTAAGATTTGAGTGAATCTTAAACATTTAAAATACTATACTTAATCTAATTAACAATTTTTAAGACTATATGTTAATGATGACCAGATTCAGATATACAACAGTAGTATGATTTAAAACTAGTAACCAGGTCTGGTATTTAGATTTTTAAACATTTACCTAAGAACGCTGTTGTAAAGTATGTTAGAGTAGTAGCACCAAATATCTTAAATGTATATAGTTTAATAATATTTTATGTGTTCAATCTTCATATTCATATCAATAAATTGAGTATTTAAAAATATTAAAAACAAGTTGCTGCAAAACAATATATTAAAATGATTTTTTTTACCTCATCATTAATAATGTAAGTTCGAGATGTAGCATTTCTTTTATAACATGGATTATAAATCATACCACACATAATAAAACTCTTCTTGAAAGCTGTAGCATTCTCAGACTAAATAATTTAATGTATTTTTTTGTAAATCTATAATGAAAGCAGAATCACTAAACATGTGAGTTAAATATAGGTTCTTTTTTAACATTTGATATATTTAGTTACCATTAATCATTAAATTATGTGAACAAGGGCGTATACAGAAATAATTCTAG